CAGCTTATCTCACTGGTTCCTGACCTTCCCTCTCACTTACCTAAAACATTCTTGAATCCTAATCAAGCCTCCCAGCCTGTAACCCTGGTGAGCTGACACATTCATTGGTTTTATAAAAGTAGTTTCTAATTCTTTGTTAATAATAATGACAACATTTACCAGCAATAGACATGAGAGACTCCTGCAGAACTCCCTTTCTTTCCTTCAGGTTTGACAATCTATTGGTATTTTCCCTTCCTCTTGCTCACAGAAAACAATCAGTCAAGGCTGTGCACTCACTTCTGTATTTTTGGCTACTTTTTGCCATTGGAAGTATTTAATGATATGGTGAGGGGATTATTTACTCCATTCCACTTTGCAGAGTAGTTCTCCAGCCTACAGTATTTCTGTGCCCACAGAAAGATTGGCTTTTCAGGACCTTCCCTCTCCCTGGTGGTTGATTCTTGATGGCCCACTCAGCTGAAGGCAACTTTCATTGCTAATCACACATGCAGTCAATTGCTTTGACTTCATGTTCAGCCCCCCCAAAATTGAACCACATAAGAGCCTTTGGCAAGGGCATGCACATGTCCACCCCGTTATTATGACAACTGTGCTCTTCTTCAGGCTGGGATTTTGTTCCCTGGGGAATGGATCAGTACCAAAGTGATGAAATCACTCAGCACAGTGGCCAGCAGTGGCTTCAGAGGGCTGTTGTGACATCTGTGTGGCACGAGGCAGTGGCACCTTGTGGCACATGGAGGCAGGTAACTCACACCATTTGTATCTCACAGCATTCTGTGGCATGGGAGTATGGATACGAATGCTCAGTTGGCTCAATGCCTTTGATTTATTTGCAAAATAAATTCATCAAGTAAGAACCCCAACAATGATTGAATTCTGTCCAGTGTTTAGTGGTAAGTGCATGTTCAGAAATACAGTACTCTATGCCCTCAGAAATCCATCCTGAAAATAGCAGTCATCTGCAATCAGATGACAGAAGACACACGCTAATAGCAATGAGCATCAACACACTGGCTTGAAATTAAACCTGAAATCATGCCATATCAAGTTAGAGACAAAGAAACAATAATCTGTTATGCAGAGATGAAGAGAATTTATACTACTGCCGTAAACGGTTGTGAAAGAAAGAGCACTCTTGATGTGAAAAACAGTGAGCAGTACAAAGCAACAGCCTAATGCTGTATGTGGTCATGGTCAGCCTTCCTGAAAGTATTTCTGCCATGCTGATACCCATCTGCTCTCCACATCAGCACGGCAAGTTTCGATCTCACGCTGATCCTTGCAGTGGAAGTTCACTGTGATCTTAAAAGAGTTAGAGCCAACCTCTGGCAGGGAGGCCACCCCTGTGCAATGATACAGGATGTGCCTTTGGCCACTTTCTATCAGCTGTCCCACTGCTGTGCCCTCCTGGCTCCATGCACACTCTCAGCCCCTTGCTGCACGAGAAGCTGGAATGTTTCTCTTAGAGTAAGCACTGCTCTGCAAGAACTAATACATCCGTCTGTTACCAACATCATTTCCATCCTCAGTCCAAAGCATGGCACCATACCAGCCACTAGGAAGAAAACTGTCACAGCTGAAACCAGGACAAACCTCTGTTGTATTGTTGCTGTTGTTCTCCCCAGAATTGCTGCATGGCCATGAAGTACAATTGGAAAGGTTTTTGTTACTTAATTACTCTTACCTGTCTTCACTCATTTAATTTGCTCTACTTACAGCAATTTTTTTATAATCCATACAATTTAGTTTAAGTTTTAAATTCATGTTATGACTGTTTACGAGAGTGGACAGTGGTAGGACAAGGGGAAGGATTTTAGAAAGAGACAGAGAGGTTTAGGTTAGATATTAGGAGGAAGTTCTTCACTCAGAGGTGGTGACACACTGGAACAGGTTGCTCAAAGAGGCTGTGGATGCCCCACCCCTGGAGGCGTTCAAGGCCAGGCTGGATGTGGCTCTGGGCAGCCTGGTCTGGTAGTTGGCGACCTGCACACAGCAGGGGGTTGAAACCGGATGGTCACTGTGGTCCTTTTCAACACAGGCCATTCAATTTCTCTGATTCTATGTTTGAAAGACTTTGAATTATCTACAGTTAATACAACCTGCTAAATTAATAAAAACTTTGCATATATTACACCATCAATGGCTGTCACTAAACAGTACCAAAGGCAAGACAAGTCCCTCAGGTCCCCATGGATTATCAACGGGTATATTTTCCTTTTTGATGATGAAAGACTGCTAGCATTTCTCTGAACAAAGTCTAACCAATTTGGGATTATGTAACACTTCAAATGAAGCTGTCAACTCCTGTTTTGCCTTCAAAATGTCATCTTAGAGTGTTAATAAAGAGAACGATGGCTGTTTGCTCCTTTATCCTAAAGCTCATTACATTGCTCTTCCAAAAAATAGGCATTTGCATTGGTAGCTGCAAAGCTAGGTTTAAGCAATAACGACCATTATTTGGAATTGACCGTTTAATTATTCCTCTTATGTGACGACTGAAAGAAAAAGACATTGAGCATTTCAGCTTTCTCAAGACTAATTATTCACTCTGTTTTTTTTACACGTGTCTGTGCATATCTTTTACATTTACCCATGTCAGCATGTTCTCCTTTTTTATTCTTTTTGACATTTCTGTTTAAAACATCCGACACGGCCTCAATAACCTCTTACTATGCTCCCTGGTTTCCTGCTGCACTGGCATAATTTGTCATTTGGTGTCCTTTTATTACTTCTCAAAGACGACAATCATGTATCATTCTGATTGTTTCAACCACTTTTTTTTTAAAGTATTCTGGAGTGAATTTAATCTGACCCTATTTAGCTTTGAATCTCCAGCTTTTTAAAGTGCATCTTCTCAGAGAATACCTGTTCTTTTGAATTCTTCTCCTCTTTTAAGTATTTCTCAGGGGACTATACTTAACAAACCTCTTTGTGTACAGAAGCTGATTTGAAGTCCACATGGATTCTGTTGAACAGGCTGTCACCTTTCCCTACAATTACAGAATCCTGTTTATGTAACTAAAATCAAACTAATTTCTCCTTACAGATCAGCAAACAATTCCAGACTAATCTGAATCAAGCCTAAAAGCTTGATTTGAACTCTCAAATTCTATTCTCCATGAGGCAGTGTCCTTCCTAATTGGTAGAATATTGCTACAGTTTGCACTCTGCCACATAATTTCCTGCATTGGTTATGAGTAAAACATCTGTTCAAAGATGGATACCAAAGGAAGAACACTCTCCTCATAGAGCTCCCCTTTCAGGGCAACTCATTTTGTCACCTAACATCATATTTTACCTTGATCAAATACAAAAACTCTCTGCTACTCCACAGTCACTGTACAACTGAGCTTTGGTAGCATGTCTGTAATTTCATGTTACAGCATTTCACTATTTTTACAGTTCTCACACACACCATTTGGTTTACCCCTTGAGTTCTAGAATCATAGAATCCTAGAATGGCCTGGGTTGAAAAGGACCACAGTGACCATCTGGTTTCAACCCCCTGCTGTGTGCAGGTCGCCAACCACCAGACCAGGCTGCCCAGAGCCACATCCAGCCTGGCCTTGAACGCCTCCAGGGATGGGGCATCCACAACCTTTTGGGCAACCTGTTCCAGTGCATCTAAAATTCCTCACTCATGCAAATGTTTCTCTTCAGTCTCACAAAGCTTCCTATTTGATGTAGCACATACTCACCATTAGCCTTAGCCTCCTGAATGCTCTGTGTTGTTTTGTTTCAGTCTCTGTGGCAGAGGTATTATGCATCTCCTTTCTAGGCCTTCAGCAGCCACATTTTTGCATACAAGAATAAGAGGAGAATTAATTATGGAATGCGTGGAATACAAAGTGGTAAAACAGAACAGCCCAGACTGGGCAGCATTACCTTAAATTGCCAAGAGCCTTCATGCTCTGCTGTCTGTCCAACAGATGTTCCTCTGTTATGGTCTGTGGGAGGGCGACATGCAGCTGGCATTCCAGAGAAATGAAAATTATGACCACTAACTCTCAACCTTACTATGGGCATGACTGAAGTTACAGTCCCATACACATTACAGAATGAAGACGTCAAACATACAGGGCAGTGTCAACCAGTCTGGAAAGTCTTTTCCCACCAGAACACAGAGTGCACTGACTTAACTTAGGTCTACTCTCCAATGCCAAACAGAAAGAAAAACAGCAGTGTAGGATACAACAGGTTGGTACTTGGGCTAGATAGAAAAAATAATTCTGATCAATCCTTAAGTTATTAATTAAACTGATTAAATCATACCTATCTTTACAAGTTTCTTCACTTGTTAAATTAGTTACAAGACCAATATTTGCATCAATAAAAGGTGCTGATTAAATGACAGCTAATGAACTTACTCTTCCTTTTTCTGCCCAACTCAATCTGAAATAAATAAATGCGAGGTAAAACACCTGACAGATATCTAAGCACTAGATAAAAGGTGAAGAAACAAGAAGTTGGAAGAACTGCAAGAAAAAACAAGAACTGCAAGGAAAGCAAGAAAAAGAAGTTGGTCGTCTTGACTTTAGAAAGGAAAACAGCTTAATCAATAGGCTGCTGTGAATAAATCAAATGGCATCATAAAAACCTGTCTAGCAGTATGAAGGAACAGAAGTATGGTATCAATTCAGCTCTTTAAAAAATGCCAACAACGTAAGAATGAAAAATAAATGCAGAAGATGGAAGGAGACCACCACCACCATGCAGTAGATTTAAACATATTCTTTATGATGCACTTTCATCAAAATTTGTCAGGTATCAAATGTCATTCATGCAACATCAATCCACTAAGAAATACATATTTTGGTGAGAAAATTAAAGTCCATATTTATGTAAAAACCATTTTGAAATAAAAATAAAACTTTTTTTTTTTTTTACCAAAAAAACACTTTTTAATACTTTTTTTATATTTATTTTTTACTAACAGATAATTATCTGGAAAAAAAAAAAAAAAAAAAAAAAAAAAGGAATTTCCTGCATGAGACTGAAGGAATTTAAATATATTTAAAAATGGAAGATTCTGCAATTACAGAGTTATATGCCATTAATATTGAAGATACACTTTCTGGAAAAAAAGTTTTCATGCTTAAAAAACGCACCGTAGTTTCATACTGTACATTACCACATACAGTAGTAAGAAACAGAAGTAGTAAACGGGTTATATGCAAAGAAAATAAGTTACGTTACAGGACAGTTACAACTGTGACGCACAAAAAATTAAAAATGTTCCTTTTTAACAGTATTTGAAGGCAACTCACAATCATTTCAGGAGTTCTGTGAAATTTAAGGCCATTAGTTCTAAATAAAATATATCTGACACAAACTCACAAAACTGTGTATTTTGTAAAAACTGTACATGCAAAATCATTTCATAATTATATATGAACAGGCATATAATAAAATTTTTGGGTAGTTTGGTACACAAAATTGTGCACAAAGCAACATGGTTGTGCAATTTTTAAACCAGTTAATTAACATTATCATTCATGCATCCTGAATGGAAATGTGATTAAATGACAATATAAACCCAAATATTAAGAGCCAGCATCCCTTTGAATGGGCAATCTAGACAAAATGTCGTAATTTTAAATTAAGTTTAAAATGATCCATTATAAAACATCTGCTGTAATCACTCCAAAAGACTTTTCTGATGCAAAATTTCCACTGCTTTAAGGAATGCATGGAAAGATTTAATGAGCTCAGTGAGTCAACTGTAACACTCAAAGTTCTGATTTGAGGTAATTTTCTTTAATTACTTATAGCAAGTAACTCTTCTAATTTGCTTCAGTAACTAGTTTAAAAAACTGTAAACTCAGATAAACTTAGAAACTGGAGAATCTCTGAAAAAATACACATTCCTCCCCCTTGAAATTTGGACCTAGTCAGAAGTCATATGTAATTATGACATTCACATTTTAGGAGCTTATTCTCAGACTGTAAAATGGATAGATTACTGAGAACCAACTGAAGCAATTCAGGTATTGGAAAACACACCTATCTGTCCTTTTCTTAGCTTTCATCTGTATTTGTCTGGACAAACATTCAAAGAGATATTGCTTCTCCTGTGATCTTGTGACAAACTATTGCAAGCTCGAAGATGTGTGAATCAATATTCCAAACTTTTATTCTTAAGAATATTTATAAAAGTACTGAAATTTAAAAATAGTAACATGTAAACATTGATACAGAGGAATAGCATTCCTATACATTTATGTACACACAGTATTCAGAGAGGACATATCTTCTGAGTTGAAATCCTGACTTGTGCTTTCCTCTCCAATAAATAGATCAAAAAAGTAGGGCTTCTGTCAAAAGAAAAAGACTCAGAACATCAACATTTTGATCCTAGCATTTAAAAGCTTTCCAGTTGCTCATGCAACCATATGAAGAATTTTGGTATGTGAAGAGAATTTTTCTAGCTCCAAAAAGCTACTGCTGCATCCAGAGACTCTTGAATTGTGAAGAATGCTGAGCACTTTGGAGTGCTCATATTTGAGTCTGTAACACATGAATAGGAGGTGTATAGGGTGGTGGTGCAGGTGATGGCTTTATTCCCCTGACTCTCATGTAGGACAGAAACTGGTCTGGAATCTCAGCCAGAACATCCTTAGCAAGTCTTGCCATGCTTAACACATGGTTTCCACTTCTGTCAATGTAATCCCGGAATGGCACAAACTATAAAAGAAAAGATACGTTCACACAGGTCATGATGCAGATGCAAAATACATCTTAAAATACAAAAATGAGAAAACTTGATCTAGGCAGTAATATTAATATACTACCTTGTACACTTCATATTATAAATATATCTATAGACATCTATGTTATATATATACATATTATACCTAAAAAAATCCATTTTCTGATAGAAACATTCTCAAACCATGGCTGGCTCAGATTATCAGCTATGTGCTTTACTGACACATCTGGAATATCTCTCAACTTCTTCCATACAAAGCTATTTTTGGCTTACAAGTCTTCTCCATGGCCTCACCTACCAGAATTTGTAGGAAGAATGTTTGCTATCTGAAGTGAACAAAACAGAAAGGATGACTTTATAATGTTGATCATTTTTATTAGACTCAGTAGGATTGTGAACCACCACTGTGAACATTTATTCTTTTAACTGAACACCAATAAACATACCAAGATTTTAAGCAAAAAAAAAAAATTGATTTCAAATAAGAACTTGTTATGTCGTACCCAAATCTACAACACCAAGAAGGCAGCTACCAGCTCTGCCTTGGAGGTCAGACTAATAAGATGCTCATGCTGCTGGTAAGGAAAAAAGAAACAATCTGGGCTCCTTGATTTTTATTCACAACAGACAGCACACAGAGATGCAGTGGGTTAAGCTACGTAATACGTTGTGCCAAAAGGAAGGTTTATTAGGAATTCTATTTCTTGCTCGGATTTTGGAGCCTATCTCAGGACTGCAGCTGGGTGACTTTTCAGAACCAGGATTCAGTGTCCAAAGTTACATCTGGTACTGATATACTAGACTATGCTTGAATACAAACCCTAATGGTATCTTTGTCCTCTAAAGAAACAGAGAAGACTTGAATGTAAACCTTTTGCACATAATACTCCACAATTAAACTAGAACTCATTGAGAAGCCAAACCCAGGGATCTCTAACCTTTTGGTTGAACTCTAAAATATGCAGACTCTTTTGCCCATCATCCCAGCGTGAAACATTTTGTCTTCTTGGATGCACACCAACCAAGGTTTTACATTAATTTTTGTTTTACTAAAAAAACACTAAAGCTTTCAAGATAAGGGAACCACTGAATTACAGTGGGAGTTCAGCTTACATTGCACTTCTGAGAGCCTGACAGTTTTCCAGAAACAGAAGAAATTTATTTAATATAGTAAATAAATCAAGAAACTCTTGGGGGGTGGGGAGGGAAAGAGAAAGACAACATTTTATCAATAAGGAACTTAATTAAATTATTTTTTCATCATTTGAAAAGCAATTCTCACTCTGGACTTATGAAACTGGATGTTTATTGCTATCATTCAGCTACGGTGTTGGCTTTTTTTTTTTTTCTGTAATGAATTTCTGTGTTTTCAGTGGAGGCAATATTTAAAAAATGCTTAAAAGAACCAGCATATGAAAAACATAGCTTGCTCATCAAAATTAAAATAGCTGAAAAACAAAAATTGTTCTGAGCAAACAGCATTGCTATAGATTGTGTAGGGATTCAACTCAGTTGACTCTGCCTAACTCCATAGATGATGGAGTTCTCAAATTGACAGAAAAAACAGCTTTGATCCTATGTATTTGCACTATGCAAATACTACGTTACACTCAAACCCAAGCAGCAAGACCATGCAACTATACAGGTGGGAGAACAATGGGCAAAAAGGAACCTGATTTTAGGGTACGAAGCAAAGCATCTGCAGATCCATAATTAATTAACTTTAATAGCCACTTCTATGTTTATTCAGTGACTTTTCAACATTAGAAGCAAGTAGATACTGTGACATTTTCTAGTACTGACTCGTTTTTTTCTCTCTCTCACACACACAAGAAAACCCATCACCAGTTTTCAGAAGTCAGTACAGTACTGCTCAGTTTCAACAGCTTGCTCCTTCTTAAACTCCATCAGCTTATTGGAAAGAATAAATCTAACTGTCCCCAGAAGCATGAAGTTAGAAGAGTAACAAACAAATGGAAAAACCTCTGTAGTCTGTAGGCTTACACACTGAGCTGTGAAGGGATAAGCTTAGTGTCTATCTCACATTTTTTCATTTCCTAATGCAATGGCAGTCTTGTAAAAAGCATATGCAGTCTGGGTTAAGAATCAGAAAGTATCCCATTTCAATCCCATTTACTTACAGACATGAAAACTCAGACCATAATTTTGGCAGCAAAGTGAGGCTATTTAAGCAATGCAGTTACACAGTATGGGTGGCCTAAATTAGTTCTCCCCTCTCCTTATGGGATACAGATATCAGAAGAGTTAGAGGAACTACAGACAGAAACATATGTACAGATACACATATGCACAACAAGGCCTAGAGCAACCACACAGAACAAGTAGGAGTGGTAGAGGAATATAATGAAAGACAGAAGAAAGATCGAAGGGAAATGGAAAGAATACAAAATGCTTTTCCTTTAGCATGATAGTTTATGATTTTAATATATAAAATTCTCAACAGAAACTATACATACATTACCATAAGTTTTTTTGTTTTTTTTTTTTTGGTCAAAACTTCTTAAATAGAAAGAGGATAACAAAAAAGCAAAACTTCAGTAAACTGAGGAAGAGCTGGTAGGCGTATAATTCAGAGTCCCTACAACACCTGTGTTTATTATCAAGGAGGGAAAAACAAGATCAAATCTTTCCTTGAACTGCAATGAGTAGTAAATGTAATAGATATATCAACTGCTAAAATTAAGTTAGCTTTACAAACTAACTTTAACTAACCTAAAACAAAAAAAAGGTTATCTTTTTACATTTGAATACTTATTTTATAAAAGCAAGTCATTTTCATCCTACCATATACCAAATAAAGGTCATAGTAAACTTAAAGCGTTTGACATTATCCCTCTTTATTATGTAGCTAGCACATAATGTATTTGTTATTATTTAGACAGAAGGAGCACAAAATAGTACTGCCTTCAGCTAATCTGGTATGACTTGGGGCAAAGTTCTGAATGAGAGATGTTCATATCGAGGAAATGTTTTATTACATTTCTGAGATGCAATGAATTCTAAAAAATTGAAGGAAGTTTAGTTGTATTTTTTTAATCTCAGAAGAAAGTAGAATGTTTCTGATGCATAACACTTTCAGTAACCTTTTTTATAGCATTTTTATAGCATTTGAAGAAGTTCTGAAGAACATCTGAAGAACATTTGAAGAGCCCTTTATTTATGCTCTTTCAATGTAAATGGCAGCTTTTGGAGCTGCTATTGTTTGGAGGAATTACGTACAACTTCCTAGCATTTATTAAAAGTGCATAGTGCTATGCATGTTAGAAATATCTGAATTAGCTTTAAAAATCCTGACATGGCTCACATTTGCAGAAAAACTACTTTGGGGTCCAGAAGCACTTGCAGCTTGTTTATAGCTGACTTAGTCCAGGTATCTTGGGCAAATATCATTCCTTCTACAGTTGTCAGGTTGATCTGATTTTTGAGAAGTTTGCTGCTTTTCATCTGTCAGCATCAATACTTCCTTTAGCACGCATGACTAGTGTGCTGGGCCATCAAATCCTTTTCTCTGTGTTTGGTTTTCCTCCAGTATCCCATAAAAATAAAAAATTTGCATCTAGTTTATGATGCAATTTTTGCATCATAAATTTTTGCAAAATGAAATTAAGTCTGTCCAAGTGGTACATAATGAGGTAGGAAGAAAGGATGCCAGAGCACAGATTAAATATTCTGGAAAACCTGTGGACTTCTAGAGATTTACTGCCCTAAGGAAGAAGGATGATTACCATGGATAAGAGCACACAAAACTACTATACCACCCTGCATGTGACTGCTTAGGCATCAGTGACAACCAAAGGGCTGACTGAATGATTGTAGAGAGCAGAACAGAACAGGAACAGAACCAGAGCAGAGAAGTGGAGCAGCACATGGAATGCAGGTGAGAATAGGGTATTAGGGTTTGGCTCAGTCACCTAAACAGAGACATCTGCTGTCATTTGGAGTACCTTAAGGCATGAGATATCTGCAGGGTCGTATGTGGCAGGCAGGTCACAGGAAATGGGAGTCACTCATAACACTTCTGGGCTGGCAGTTAGAGGAATGGAAAGATATCCTAGGCATTTTAAATACATTTGCTACGGCCTAGGTACTGCTGATTTCCAAAAATGTTGCAATTCTTTTTTACAGACTCACGTAAGATTGCAGTACCTGGAACACAAAGGAAACTAACACTTCTCCTGTTGCTGTATAATCCTAAGACTTTATTTCTGTGCTGCCGGTTAGGGGTCATTATAAAATACAAATATATATACAAATTTATATATATATACAAATTTATATACAAATATAAAATACAAAATACATTCAGTATCTTTGTCCTATATAAAGGCCTGTAAGGCACCACAAAGAGTTTCTGAAGTTTTTATAAACATCCCAAGATAAAGTTCATCAATGCTATGGTAAAATGAAAGGAAGGAAGATAGACAAAACATGAATTCATGGCAAACAGGATCAGTAAAATATAATTATTAGATAAATTTTTCTATCCCACCTGCACAATGTCTCTTTCTGCAAACTTTCCTCTTGAAGAAATCCTGACTACATCGCCATCCAGTTCTTCCATAGCTTAAAAGAAGAAATAAATTAATTTATCTATGAGTTAATCTACTCCCCTCAAAAAAACATTACTGAGAAAAATTTTAGTCAGTCTACACTTTAGAGCAACAGAATCAACAAGTGCTATCTTTAGGTAAATCATAAGATCATTGCCATCATGCATAGTAGCTATTTTGCATTTTTTCATGTTGATGATACCTACATTTTGTCTTTATTATCATCTTCAGGACATAACACACTACAACAAGGTCCATCATATTCTTCTGATTCCCAAACCAGCAAGTATTTCATTTCTGTATGGCTATGTTCATACTTGCGTAGATGGATAAAAATTCATCTTCAGAAATTATTGTTACAGAAGATATCAAAGAATGTAGCACAGCATGGTAATATCACTCATAATGGGAATATAATGACTGTAATGACACAGGAATTAGGTGCTTTTAAAAGAACACTGTTAAGATTTTTGGCTAACTCTTGCATCTTTTTCAACAGGGTCCAGGAAATCTCTGAAGTTGTCCATATATCCAAGGCTATTCCAGATTTCTATTAAGTGGCATGCCTGCTCTCTGGTCAGTGTGACAATGGGGGGACCTATGGTCACAAATCATTGCTCAGCCATTGAATCAAGAATCCCACAACTCTTCTTTCAGTACACTGTATGAAAATCAAAGCACTGCTGCGCTGGAGCATCTTACGTGTTTACAAACTGGGTTGAGCTCACTGAAGACAAAATTTCAAATGCCAGCTCTTCCAATGCAAGAACGTGAAAGTGTAAATAAAATCACCAGGAACCAAGTTCAAACAAAATGAAAGAATATATTTCTTGCAAAGATAGTTAGAAAGCCCATCATATATTGGAACTCCACACTTTTATCTTTTACCCTACTGGCATCGCCCAGAGGCTTTGAGACCTAGACTGGGCAGTAGTATCCAGAGAGGAGTAGCTTAGTCTCTCTACAATGGAACTTAGGTTTGACTGGCCCTTGAATTTTAAAACAGTACATGCTCCTACACACACTTCTTCAGTGCTGGCAACAAAGATGATCAAACTGTCTTCTCTAGAAAGAACCTCTGCATACAGGACAAATATTTCTCTGCCCTCTTCAGCGCTATGGGACTACAGATTTGGCATAGACCTACTAGATGCATTTCACCTGGAACCTAAGTCCAAAGAATCACAGAATTGCCATGGTTGGAAAAGAACTGTAAGATCATCCAGTCCAACTGTCTACCTATCACCAATATCTGCCACTAAACCATGTCCCTCAGTACAACATCTAAAAATTTCTTGATCGCCTCCAGGGGATGGTGACTCCACTACCCCCGAGCAGTCTGTTCCAGTGCCTGACCACTCTCTCAGAGAATTATTTCCTAATGTCCAACTTGAATCTCCCGTGGTGCAACTTGAGGCCATTCCCTCCACTAGAGAAGAAGCCCAATCTCACATCACCACAACCTCCCTTCACTACATTGTAGAGTCCTAAGGTCTCCCCTGGGCCTCCTCTTCTCCAGACTGAACAATCCCAGCTCCCTCAGCTGCTCCTCATCACACCTGTGTTCAGACCCCTCTACAGCTTTGCTGGCCGTCTCTGAACACACTTCAGGGCCTCAATGTCTTTCCTGTAGTGAGGGGCCCAGAACTGAACACAGCACTTGAGGTTCAACTTCACCAGGGCTGAGTACAAAGGGATGATCATTTCCCTGCTCCTACTGGCAAGACTTTCTTATACAAGCCAGGAAGCCATTGGCTTTCTTGGCCACCTGGGCGCACTGCTGGCTCATGTTCAGCCAAACATCAACCCATACCCCATGTTCACTTTCTCTACAGTCTTCCACCCACTCTGCCCTAAGCCTGTAGCATTGCCTGGGGCTGTTGTGGCCAAAGTGCAGTACCTAGTACTTAGATTTGTTGAACTTAATCCCCTTGGCCTCAGCCCAGCAATCCAGCCCGTCCAAAACCCTCTGTAGGGCCTTCCTACTCGGAGGCTGATAGACAGCTCCTCCCAGAAAATGGAAACTATATCCTGAAGTAACACAGAATCCTGCTTTAAGAAACGCTATAGGAATGACATCCCAAGAACTCCATAAATTCAATCTCCAGAAGTAAAAGGGAGATGGAACCTTCATGTCCAGACTGAATCAAGAGGAGTCTGGGCAAACCCAAGGATGGGACAAACAGGGAGAAAGGGAAAAAGGCGAAGGAAGGATGAGAGACAAGTAAGTAATATAGGACTAGAGGATTATCAAGAAAACATAGAGCTCGCAAATTTCCCTGTTGTCAGCAACTGCGAGACCCCCCCACGGGATGTGACGCGATAGGCCCTGTCCCTGCTCTATGATTGATGTGTGGCACGTGCCCTTAGGGGCGTAGACGAAGCACATAGGTTATATAAGCTAGAGTTCACGTGTAATAAACGCCATTTTGCTGTTCATCATATTGGTGTCTGCGTGCGGTCATTTGGTCCTGGCCGGGTTTTAGGTCAGTACCGTAGGAGGCAATGCAACATTTCCCATCTGTGCATTTATGAAGACAAATGGTCTCTTCCCTTTGACTGCAGCATACAATCATCTGAAGAATAAATGTCAGCTTGGACAATCTCTTCAAGGAATACAATACTTAAACACTAACATAACACTTGCCATACTCCTAGAATATTTGTGTAAGAACTAAAATGTACTATCATTAATGACTATTCACATTATATATCTGTACACATAGAGACATACTGCCTAACCAGAAGTACTCAAATGGAAAAAAAAGGATGTATACCTTTGAAGATCAGATCTACATGGAGCATCTACATTTCATTCTGTGGTGATACACAAGATGCCAATCGATAAATTAGTTCAAATAACTGAAGTGGCTAATTCACTGGAATAGAGAGTGCTATTCCAGAACATCTAATGAAAGAATATGTAAATAACCTTGGTGATTTATTTCCTCCTGTAATATTCTCCCACTGCTGCTAGACAGTAAGGCTCACTTCTGTTATAAAGTGAAACCCGGCTTAACTCAGATCACTGCCTCAAACTTATTTTCCTTTGTATTTTATTACTGCAGTAAGAACAGGTGATCAATATTTCCAGTCAACTGACACATCACACAGCAATTAAATATTGATGTTTCAGAAATTCAAAATTACTTCAGTATGCTTATTTTATTCTTCCCCTCCTCCATTTTCTAGAGCACTGTAAATGCTCAGCCCCCATATGATTCCATGACTTGAAGAGAGAGCCTGAGGGGCTCAACATGGTAGCTTGTAATCATACTGAGTTATCAATCAATCCAGCTGGAAATGTCAACAGTACTTACTGCTTGTTCCATATTACGTGAAGAACAGTATGTGTTTCAAAAGCCACATATTACAGATACGTAAACAAATATAAAACATTCTAGAAAAAAAATACTAAAACACTTACCATCAAACTCTGCTGGCCCTACTCCCACTATAATTATTGACATTGGAAGCTTTGAAGCCTTTGAAAGAACAAGAAAAAGAGGTTTAATATATTACATAACTTCAGCCAATATTATGTAAGATGCAAAAACAATATGAATAAAAAAACATACAGAAGTGAAGCTTTAAAGAACAATTCCTTATCCTAATATCCTAAAATGATGAGGAGAATAAATCTTCAATTTGAGCAATATGTATCTTCTGATTCTTCCATGAATGAAAATTTTTATTCAAGTTAGTCATCCATGCACAAAGCAAACAAGATATTAAATTATGTTATGGTTAAGAATTCTAATTTTACTTAACCTTTTTCATTCAATGAAAAAATGAAAAGATGGCTTTCCCTGAATGAACCCTCTGTAAAACCTTAAAAATTATGAAGACAGCATCATAAATACTGGACTCCCCTGCCCTGACAGCACTAGATGTCCACTACAGATATCTTCTGAAACTGGCTCTTTTCAGGAGGATAACAGTAAAAAAATAAAACATCTAACAAATGTCAGGGCTGAGAAATGTTTCTTATTGTGATCACAGAATCCTTTGAGTTGAAAGGAATCTCTGAGGGCCATCCAGTCCAACTCCCCTGCAGTGAACAGGGATACCACAGCTAGGTCAGGTTGCCAAGGGCCTTATCCAGCCTCACCTTTAAAGTCTGCAGGCACAGGGCATCAACCACAACACCAGGTAACCTGTTTCAGTGTCTCACCACCCTCACTGTGAAAGATTTTTTGATATTTTGATATTCTGATGAATATCTGGTGATTTTCTAACCTGAACTGTGAAATATCCACAGTCATTTTAAACAGGAGTCTACTCTGGCCGAAAATCATAGATGAAGATTTCTTCCTAAATTAAAATCAGCTCAACTGAAGCTTCAAGTAAAGTGGCTTCAGAGCAGACTTATAGTTTTCTTCTGGAATATAGAAGGCATTATTTTGCCTCATCTAAAATACATTCGCTTTTTAAATGCACCATTCCCACTTCCCATTCTTGATCTGTCATAAAACTCTATGTAAAACCAAGCTGAAGACACACAATTACTGTATACATGCTATTTAAAACAATGAAAATATGACATCCTATAAATCATCATTGTGCTACAGCATTCTATACTGTACAGTGTATATTGTGCATTGACTGCAATTTCATTATGAACTGATACTACATAGTCAGTCTTCTATCTAAAATTTGGTAGCAAACACTATTTATTAGTTTTTACTTTAAATTATTAATTTAAATACTAATGCACTATGAAAAATGCTGGTAAAAGCCATCTGGACATGGTCATAGAATCATAGAATGGCCTGGGTTGAAAAGGACCGCAGTGACCATCTGGTTTCAACCCCCTGCTGTGTGCAGGTCGCCAACCACCAGACCAGGCTGCCCAGAGCCACATCCAGCCTGGCCTTGAATGCCTCCAGGGATGGGGCATCCACAACCTCCTTGGGCAACCTGTTCCAGTGTGTCACCACTCTTTGGTCCTAGGCAAGCAGCTCTGGGTGTCTCTGCTTGAGAAGAGATTGGATCAGATGGACCCAGAGGTCCTTGCAACTTCAGCCGTTCTGTGATAAAGGACGATAAATAGAGCATAACTATAACTGAGTTGCAGTATAGTGCATAAACCACTGACAGTAAGAGTAAAGTATTTTTTTGGATATGAAGGCACTATTTAAAGGCACAGAACATGTTCTGGTTTTCAGATGTTTTCGAGAATCTTGGAGTTTAAATTTAACATTCTTCAAAAATATTCCTAATCAGGTAGACAGAGTATTACATGATACTATGTATATGAAACCATAAGTGGCAAGGTCAGTGAAAAGACAGAGTTCAACTTCAGCATATAAACTTGGTGTTGGCATTTTCTGAATGACAGTATAACCTTTGAACAGTTTGATAAAGCAGAACAGGTCTGACACACATGCTGTAACAAGAAGGATGCATAAAGCACAGTATTAAAAAATGAAACACACTCTTTCTCAGTTTTATACACATCAGCTTGTATTTAACATCTGTCCCTTTTTTCATTATTCCAAATATTATCATGACTGGAAAATGCTACCAGGAAGCATTTAATTAGTCCTGTTACAGTATACTGTGCTCACACTTCAAGAGCTATAAAGAAAAATGAAAATGCATCTTCATCAAAAGTATTCAAAATTCCTGAACTTTTGCTCATTCTAGGCAAAAAACACATCTTCTGTACCTCCAGACGTTTGCAGAACATCAGCTATTATTCTTAAAAATTAATTACTTTTCAAAACAAGGGTTCTCTGTATTTCTTAGTGATCAAATAGTTAATCTTACAAAGTAACAACCAGATGAACTTTCTGGTCTCATACTCACCCTCCATATGGACTTGGAATTGAAGGGGAGTTAAATCAAAAGTTTCTCTTTCTTCCCCATGGAGCTTTTCTGACACCTAAAAAAAGGCTCTATTCCAAACTTCTAAGCTAGACAAGAGGATGAACTTGTAAGATGAAAAGTTTGTTTATCCCCTTTAAAACTGAGAGTGGCTTTATCCTATTTTAATATTGGAAAGGAAGTAAACCTGTACCTTCAAACACAGCTCAAGCTGTTGTAAAAATTTATCATTCACAGAGCTCACTGACATGCAGACTCTGTCCATATGCTGCTGGCTAGAACTTGAGGGCATCCTGCTTTCCAGTGAGAGACAGAACATTCCAGTAATATTCTCCTGTGCACCCTACAAACTGAAATGGTGCTGCAGCTGTCTACAGGAAGTAGTGAAAGTGGGCCTTCAAAAGTATGCCACCTAATTCTATAACTTTTGTTTTGACATGACACTGTGGTGCATTCAAAACTATTGGAACAGGCCTTCTCAAACTCTGGATGGGTTTTTTGTGTACTTCCATCTGACATTTTCCAGGGACAGAAGAACAGTTTGTAGTGTAGAGTATTACTTAAAAGCACAGCAGTTTGAAAGAGAAAAAACATCTAAAACAATGTTTTAAATAATAATTTAAAGGAACTTGAGGAAAAATCTTGATTTTTAAAATTCGGGGCAACTATCTAAAAGGAAATTAGCTGACAGTTATGCTTGGCATTTGGGACCAGACAATTTGGAGCAGTTTTTAGGAGGTGAGGAAAAAAACAAAAATAAAAGCTGTCTGCAATTACTAGATGGATAAAGTTCATCACAGTTCATCATGTAGTACTGCATAGTAGGAGTGCATGAAGGAGGAAGAGTCAAGAAGCAGATGACAGAAGTTATATGAACATTCAGTGTTAGAAGAGACTTTCCATCAAACAGTAATTAAGCTGAGATACAGCTTTTAATTTCTCCTCATCTTCATACATAATCATTTTTTTTTTTGCTGTTTGGAAAGAATGGTTAATTTATGAAACTAATTTAATATTTAAGATAATGATAGATTCAGTTTACTTCTTAAAATATTAGTGCCTAGAAAGATATTTCATATTTCAGCATTTTCAGCAAAACTTACATTCACTATGGATTCTTTTGTCTGAGCCATATCTGAAATAACTCCATCTGTAATAATGAGAAGAACAAAATACTGGGAGCCATCTTTAACTGAAGCAGCGTATCTAAGGGGGGAAAAAAAGAACACTGCGATAGTAAAACAAACCTTTATATAAGAGCAATTTACATGAGAAGGAACTGTATTTTTTAAATTTAATGGAGGACAATCCCAAATAATTAACTGTGATAGCACAACCCACTGTACACTGTGATACACTTGTATATTCTCGAGACTCGAGCTTCTCCCTGTACTATACCTGAATATAAGACAAAACACAACCAACACCATTCCAGTCTTGCCACAGTCAAAGGCCACAAGAAGCAACTGTTCTTTGAAAATAAGCAGCTCTTGAAGATTTGAAAAGTTCTGAAAGATAGTGAGTCTGCAACAGTTTTATTAAATTCTATGGCCTGTATATCAGAAACCAAGACTAGAATTTGCTTGCTCTTGCTATCCTATACAGTTGGTGAAGAACTTTTTTTTGCATGGAACGTGCTGTTTCACTTACTTTTTTATTTGACTGAAACAAGTCTAGTCACTGCCTTCAAAAAGGCTCTTAGTGCTGTGAAGGTTAAGCAAAACTTTGTAATAGAAGTGGTCATGAGTAGCATTGAGAGCAGGGAAAAAATAAATACTATGGTATGTATGCTCAAGTACAGAATATTCATTACCTCACTGGTCACTGGACAGGGTATCTGTCTAATGATGTTCATGATGTTACTCAGAATATTCTAACAGTAAATTTGCAAGTGAATGCTGCCTATAAATAAGATGCTATAACAACAACATTTGAAAGAGTTTGGAAGAGTGTGAGTGAAATGGAATCTACAACTCACAGAAAGCCATACAGATGGGTAGAAAAGCCCCAGAGTCCATTAACTTGTTGAACACTTGTTTGTACACAAGCAGTAGGGACTGGAATTAAATGCAAAATACTAGCACACAGTATTCAGATCTACTAACAAGTGTAAGTCAATCATGTTAGAATGAGTGAAAAAAACCACATTGTAAATACATTTTTCTATGTTTTAGCATCATGTAACTCTTGATCATTAATAGTGCAATAGTAGTACTGAAAATAAAAAGTTTCTGCAAAGTACTCGTTATGCTTACCTGGCTACATGATTAATTACAGGGGCAAAGTTTGTTGGTCCGTAAAGCTGGACTGATTTTAGACTTCTATAATATGCCTCCATTACACCATCAATGCCATGGCAGTATGGATTTTGAGGGTTTCCATTCTAAAGAAAATAAGAAGGGATTAATCTCTAAAAATAGTTATGAAGCAGAAATGATGCATTTTAGTGAATACTATCTAGTGCACATTTTTAACAAAATTTAAGAATCTATTCAAAGTTTGCTACCAATATCCACAGTAAGTGCCATGGTTGGTTCTGACTGTTAGCTGCCTAGGGAAGAAGTTTTTGCAGCCTTGTACTGTATGCAGTCTGGATCACTGAAACAGGTTCCCAGACATAAATGGAATTAAGTAGTCCTTACATTGAACAGTAAAAGGCATTTCTTGGTGTGCATTTAAGGTACAAATTACAGGGCAAATGACAAACTAGAGTCACATTTAGGAGCACCAGTTCTGGCTCAATAATTTCCAGTCAGATTTTAGTTTTGTAATTTAATTGGCATGTGTACAAGATCTCAGATTTATTCCTGGAATCTCATCCTATACTCCACTAAGGTAACTCTAGTTACCTCTAGACACCTCTAAACCAGCAGCCTGTAAAAGACAGGTTACAGAGAACAACAACAATAATTAAAAAAAAATTGGGTCATGATTCAATTACATATCAAGGTAAGATTAGCTTCAAACTGAAGTATTTTTGTTTCTCATGCTGCTATTGATGAGGTTTCTTTATTACTATTTTTGGCCTACAGGGACTCTGGATGTCTGTCAGCAACTTCACTACGATGAGAAATTTTGAAACGAGTCTTTTAGACCTAAGAATTCAAACATTTTCTGTAATTACTTTTCCTATTAACTACAAAAGACAACTCTTCCTCCCCCAAATTAGGTTGTGGTAAGAAATTTAAATAAATTTTTATATATTTGCTTACCAGTGCAAATTCATGCGATACTCTTCCATCTGGAGGCAGTCTAGCTCCAAAACCTAGAGCTGGGAACATTTTATCACTATCATAGTCCTGAATAATTTCACCTACTGCTTTCAGTGCCATGCCATATGCATTCAGCTGATAGGGATTCATATAGTGCAGTGAAGTAGGTTGTGAAGGGTTACCTGTTGAAGCAAGAGTCAGGTTTACTTTACAACTGAATCACTCCCAGATTTTCTCTCTTAAAAATGACAGAAATCTAGGAAAGAAGAAATTGAAAAGGAAACAAACCTATTTCCTACAAATGTAACTGTGGTTAAAACAGGTAACAATGCAACATTCTTAGTACATCTTTAATAGGTTAATACTAGGACCTGTAAGCTTTCTCACCAACGAAATGATAGCAAGAGATTGTGACTTCAACTGAGAATTTGTGTCACTTTTGTAGTGTAATACACACTCCTATCATGAAATTTACTAATGTATTACAAGTTTCTGAAAACAATTCTGCAGGAAAATCAAAACTTTCCTGTTTCACCATTCTTCAGCCTCACTCTACTTGAAACTCCTCTGATTTGTACTTCTCAATGGAGTCTTCCAATTTAGCCAATTTGCTCACAGCAATAATGAATGGACACAAAAAAATTACAAAGTATGTAAACAACTGCAAGTTGCTCCTATTTATGCAATTCAGTATGTATTTTTTAATAGAAAATTTCTATCTGCTGTTTGTCCAGCATTTCTGGACAGGAATTGGTTTCTAGTCTGTTGTTGCTCAGCTGACTTCAGGTGGTGCCAGGTAAACAAATAATTCGTAATACAAAGTAGTTAAGCAGAATCCTGACATAGTACACACACATAAACACTTCTAAAAAGTGTTTTTAAAGTGTCTTAAAACTAAGCACAGCATGAGAATATAAAAGCTTATTTTTATTCTTACCATTTGAGGCTGTGAAGTCAATAGCTACTGTGAAGTTGATTTGTGTTCTGCAAAATGAACAAATACAGCTCTTACTATTAGCTTTACTGCTATGTGGAAAATAAACGATATATAGTAATGTTTTTGGACAAAATGCAGGAAATCTTACTTTCTAATTCAGGTAATGCACATCGAAAATACCATTTCAGTGGTACTGAAAACATGTACTTTATTCCATCCCTCCTTTTTCACTGCTTATGAAAAATCCCAATTCTACATTTAGATTATTATGATCTCCATGTATTATTATTTTCAACAGTAATACTGATTTTTCTTTTGACAAGGAAAGAAACTGACAAGACAATAAGGGTTCTACTGATCTGCTCTTAACACTAAAACCATGTATTCAGTCAGAATGCATTAGAAATCATGCTATACATAAAATCTTTGGAGCAGACAGCAAAGTTTTTGGCAGAAGATATCATTCATGGGAACATAATATTTTAAGAATTTTAATTTAATACTTTTAGGAGTACTTTACTATCAAGGAAAATTGTGGAAGATAAAAGTAAAATCTGGGAATGGGAATATAAAAATTAGCAATTTGAGCAGTAGCTAAGTAAAGCCATTACTGTGCATGAATCAATTGTCAGCATACCATTATTGTCAGAAAAAGTAGTCACTAATGGACTTATGGAGTGACAATCCAATTAATGCAATCCTGTAACTTCCTTCAGCACAAAATGCTGTCATTCTCAGATAATATCTGAACTGGTAAGACTCTAATCAGGTAGAAGAGTTTGGATGAATCCAAAAATTGACTTTTTACTCAGACCAAGTCTTTTACACAGTCCTTCAAATTTCTGCCTCTCAATGTGCACTACTGTGAATTTATTGACCAAACTGCCAAAGATTACAGCTCTTTAAAAGTTATTGTACAAATTTAACTCATGCACACTTAGATCAAATATCAAGACCTGACACCTGACCTTACAGTAGAAGATTTACTGCTCAAATAACCTTATCACCCAGAGAAAATGCTATTATGACATGAAAACATAGGTTCACACATAAAATCACATGGAATCATTTTATTACACTGACCAAGGCCTACACAAACTAAGCTAGGCATGAGTGGACACCATCTCTAAAAGGCAGCAAAACCCAACCAGCAACCACAGTATTAAGAAGAGCCTTGTGGTTCCCTGGGATGCTGTCAGCCCTAAATACGTTTAAAAATGCATCAAAATGGACTTGAATGAAGAACAGTGAAAGCTGCTGCAGACTGAAGAGTTCTGAGACCTATGATTTATGAGATATGCATCCGGCTGGTAATTCTGCATTCTGCTTTGTGCACTTTCATCCAAAATACACTATTGTTAACGGTATGACAAGTCAGATTTTGGTTGGTCGATGCCTGAATGTTAGTCCTTGTGGTTTATTAGCCAAACCGTCCTTCTATATCATCAGTTAGTTACAAGAATAAACACTGTAAGAAGTGCATGTCAACTACTTTTTATCACTATCTCTGCAGTATGCAGTACGGCTGTCTTCCTCAGCCATTAACAGGATAGGAAAATCAACCAACAACAAAAGACTAATACAGTACTTTCTCTAGTTTTATGTTTAGAGTCCTTATTAGCACTGCTAAACAAAGCTGGTTTTGGACAGTCATCTCCGTATACTTAGATTTTAAGAGCTTTACTGTGGTGCAGTGTTTGAAGACTAAAACAAAACTCTTAAAACCATTACAACCTGCACACCAAGAACAGAAATCCTTCAGCTGGATGAAGAACACATAACTGGGAAAACTTCAAACAATTCTTCCCCTGTGGAAGCAGCAACATGTGTTTGTAAACTCATTTTCTACATCAGTTTTCCTGACTCAACTTGTAACAGTTATGCACATCCTGAATGTACGACAGAAATGAGAAAGCAAAGTAAAAAAATCTTTAAAAGGAAAATGGGTAACAAAAGAAAAAATATCTGAAATACATCTAATTACAAAACAAAATCACATTTAATGTAACTAAAAGTAGTGACTGACAACAGCAGTTTCAGAAGTATACCAAAACCTGATATGCCTGTGTTAAATGCATATTGCTCTAGATAAGAGAAATTCAGCTATTGAACTGGAAAAAATCCCTCACCCATTTATTACCATCCACAATAATCTGGTCTACAGTTTTTCTCTAAGAAGAAGAGTATGTTTATTACTGCATGTGCCAATTCGACAACCGTAAAAATCACGGCATAAAATAAGATCAAAGCAGATTTCTACCTTTCTACAACAGAAGTTAAATCACTTACTTGATCTTACAACAGTTACACAGACACATACACAGATTAGAATTCAGTTTCCAACAAGTTTCTACTGTTATTTTATAACCTCACTTCACCATGGAAAATTAGAGGAATCCAAAACGGCATTAAATGCCATTTTCAGGCAACTAGATCCCACTCTAAATGCAAGTGTCACATTGCATTATGGACTCATAACCACACAGTATTATTCATGCCTTACAGTGGACTGGGGAGCTGGAATAAACTCACTTAGAACAAACATGCACTGTGATTGCCCTGTGTTTTCAATGACCGTTTTATACATTCATATATAACATACTTGAAATGCCCCTCTAAGTATGATCTTGTGGAAAAGAGACATGGGAAACTAGGTCACACAAGGCATTAATGTCCTACAGCAAAAGGAATGACAAACTACAGAAAGGTATGAAATGAATATCAACCCTTGTAGTCAAAATTATCAAAACATAATTAAATCTTTTTTTGAGTAGAAAACTGGGTATCTGAAGTTCAAACAATTTAACTTCAAGTAAGTACCACAGCAGAAAATATTTCTAAAAGCAGCTGCACTAATGTGAACACGTATTTTGCGTGAAAGATTAATTTGAAAAGGTACTAATTTCCTTACTGCTCCTCAGGACTTAAAAAAAAAACAAACCTGCCCATAATTAAAAAAAAAAACTAATTTGGGAAGGCTAATTTAGAAGCTGTGTGTTGTGGAAACATCAGACACAACTAATCTGGAAGTCAAGTAAGATGACTAGAAAATTAATGTGAATGATATTTTAAGAAATGCTTTCACAGTAATACATGTTATTCTGGAAACAAATTAAAAGTAATGAATATATCTGACAAGTCAGACAACTGCCCTGTTTTTATTTCTACCATGTTTAATTTCTTTTCAACAGAATAACATTTAGGTTCTATCCACTGTTATGTTACTGCTGTTATTAACATAGTAATGACATGTTCATCAACAGTAACATAAAATCTTATGTAAGGGACAATAGCTGAAAAAAAACAATTAATTCAGTGTGGATGCCTAAAATTTTAACAAGCATCTGAAATCATAGTCTTCAAGACAAACTTAGATGCATGATTAAATAACTATATTTTGAAACATGCCAAGAAAGTGGAAGCTTTATTTAAGATCCTTCACTGCTCGTTTATACAAAAGCTCTCAAAGCTTAGAGCAGTATCTGAACTATGAAAAAACACTGCAGTAAAATCACCTATCTGCATAATGATTAATAAGGAGGGATATGCTGAACTACCTTCGTGCTTAACTTGTGAAAATAAATGAACTGGTAGACAATCTTTAGACTTTTATACACAGAGCAGTTCATTATGATGCTGAGGAAAACTAAGCAAATATTATGTGAAATTGGAAGTGAAATCTGGGGTGTTTTCAGGATTAACTGAATGTTCTCAAGAAGGGACATATAGTGTTACTCTAAACAGCCAGAAAGTCATTTTCTGAACAGTGCTCAAAATTACACACACAAAAAATAAACAGTATGAGTTGTGTCCTACCTGTATGTAGAGCATCAGAAAATAAATGAACCAGTCACTAAGCTAGAACCATACTTCAATGCAAGACCAAATGTGGAAGAAAAACAGAGGTTCTCAACACACAAAGCAAGCATAAGGTAAATATCCATACCTAGGAAATCCTGAAAAGCAAAAAATCTCTTTTACAGAGCAACACATGAATGCTTTACTGTTATTCCTGTATGTATCTCTAATATTTCAAAATGCCACAGTAACGCACGTAAGATGCAATATGGAATCCAAATACCTCACATACAGGAACTTTTCCAAACTTAGCTGCATAACATAGGTTAGATTTTAGTTTAGAGAAGCACAGAATCTGCACAGTACTAAGCTACAGAAAATTCCAATATGCAAGAAAATAATTCTGTATTTACAAACCACAGAAAACTTACGGCAATCTAACTATGCTGAAATTTATGTTAAAGCCACACTCTGTTTAGGCACAATGATGTACAGTGTTATTCAATTACAGAATGCACCATTTTGTATAAGGACAAAACCACTATACTGACTGCAGTTTGGTCTATCAAGTATCAAAATAAAATAATACTAACAATTTAAAAAACCCAAGGCTGGAAAAGTAGTCTATGTAAGTACTCAAAAATTATCAAGTTCCTGAATTCAACTCCAAACTACCAACTTGGGTATAAGGGAAAAGGCTTTTACAGTGAGGGTAAAAGTTTTCTACAGTGTGTTTGTCAGCATAGTTCTGGGCATAGGGCTAAAGGCAGGGCCCACCTGATAGCTACCCCTAGTCCTGGACTGGCTGGGCAGCATGGGCTTTGGGTTTTGTAAGATGCAGAGCTGGATGAAGGCAGGGGAGGAGGTGGCCTGTTCTGGATGTGGCTGCTAGTGAAGCTTGCTGCACCAAGTTGTGCTTTGAGTTGTTTTCCGAGGCACTGGAACAGGCTGCCCAGAGAGGTGGTAGATGCCCCATCCCTGGAGACATTCAAGACCAGGCTAGACCACGCTCTGAGCAACCTGATCTAGCTGTAGGCGCCCTGTTCATTGCAGAGGAGTTGGACTAGATGACCTCTGAAGATCTCTTCCAACTCAAATGATTCTATGATTCTATGAAATACTTAAAGAACACAGAACAGAAAGACAAGCAGAATTTCCTACTGGGAGTGGCAAGAAGGCCCAGATAAATGGGAGAGACAAAGTACTTAAGGCTAAGGGTCAAGAATTTTTTGCTGTTCTTTTAAAATATTTCTAGTTCCCCAGATTTTTCAAAAGTAAGGTTTTTCTGATCAGGAAATTCATTTGCTGAGGTTGTTTTTCTGCTTTGCCAGATGCACATTCCCCATGGAGCTGGATGAGAAGCTCATGATACCCACAGCTTCAAGTGAGGTTGTAAGGTCACAAAGCTGTGCATAAAAGCTGCCAGAACACTGCTGTCTGGCTAGGCAGGCTGGGTCACTGAGTGTCCTGACTCAGGGGAGGGCTCAGATAGAACATCCAAGCACAGCAACATGCCTTGTGGACTCAGAACTGCTAGAGGAAGACATGACTTCTCAAGGTGAACTCATGCTATATCATCACTATAAGTTACAAAAGCATCTTACCAGCAGCAGTAACCTTCACCACAGAGCAGACAGTTTGTGACTTCAGGAGAGCAAGGTAAAACTATCTTCTTTCAATCAGAATTGATACACACGCAGGAACAAGCTAAACCTGGATGTAGCTGTTGACCAGGCTTGACAGTGTGAGGTTTTTTTTTAACAGTACACTGGAAGGAAGAATGAATTTCCTCTGCATCTTCAGAGTGAAAACCAGCTGGTCTGATAGCAGGGGGCAGCTGGTGGAGGTTTGAGAATCACTTACTGTGCAGCAGTCTATAACTGAATCTAGTGCAGTAACTAACACTAACAAGGGGCTGTATCGTCTATGCTATTTATTGTAAAAAGCCTCCAGCGACAGTATTTTTTTAATCTCCTCTTTGCAAATGCAGCATCAAAACAAACAGCATTTTCTTCGTAAAAGTTTCACAAGATCCTCCTCCGATACAGCTTTATTACTCCTAATTATTCTCCAAGGATACAACATACATGGTTAAGTCTCTACAGTGCATAGCTATGACAGCCCTTGCTTCATAGCTGTATTTCAACTAAGTTTCCTCAGTACATCAAATGTGTATGCCATTACATATGATCTACTTTTTGGATGAAAATAACTGTCATAATAGCAGTTCTAAATTTCCTTTTGTGACCCTCAGTGATTCAGTATAGCTCAGTTAAAAATGAAAGCCCTTACAATCCAAAAAATATGTACATGTTCATATCTGAAAGCATTTATGAAGGCAAGTTTTAACACAATGGTGCAGAAACATTTCCCCTTATTTTTCCACTAATCTGGAACAGAAAAGATGACTTAACACTTGTAGGTTGAAAGAGGACACCGTTCCTGAAATTTTCATGATTTACAAACATCTAAAGTGCCACACACTATTCTAAGACATCTAGAAAGTCTGAAAAGTATGGAAAGTTTTGCACAGAGATGTTCTTTCTGTCCACTAAGTCTTGCAGCTTTATGGCTCCTGGTCTCATTTCCAGGTAAGACAGAGCCAACTACTCTACATTAAAATTTGATAGTGTTAGGACAAGGGGAATGGTTTAAAACTAGAAGAGGGGAGACTCAGGATAGGTAATAGGGGGTCACTCAGGGTGTGGTGAGGACTGGTGCAGCTGCCCAGAGAAACTGTGGATGCTCCAGCCCTGGAGGTGTTCAGGTCTCGGTTGGACGGGGCCTTGCACAGCCTGAGCTGGTGGGGGATAACCCTGTCTAATCTAACAAGATGATCTTTGAGGTCCCATCCAACTCATGCCATTTTGTGACTCTTTGATTCTATATGCACAAAATAAAATAAAACACTCTGTTAAGTGTTCCACAGTCATTCCTAAAAAGCGCGATTATTCCAAATGAATTCCTCTTCAAGGCAATAACCCACACATTCCTGGCTTATTCATATACTGGGAGGTGATTTTTATAGGAAAACATGCTAGTAAGTGGAAGGAGAAAACCACTTTTGAAATATACATTAATTTTTAGCACAAACTACCTACTACTTAAACATAGGAAGGTCAGTGTCGTAACAGGTGATTAAGCATCAAGATACAAGGAAAAGCTAGCAACTAAGATGATGCTACTTGATGCACAACAGATACAAAGAGACATCCATCTCTTTCCTACCATACTACTATAAAATTCAGCGTTATTACATAAAAATAAATTAGAATGTATGAACAAATTTCTATGTCATTTTTTATGGCTTTTTGAAAAAGTCACCAATTATATTTATAATGAAAAATTCTAATTAAAAATGTGCAGATTCAAAATACAAATCAAATCAATACAGCAATCCGAATTAATTACAATTAGCGCTGTCAAGCTTTCCCTTAAATCAGTATTCATTCTAGACACTTCAAATCAATTACAATAAAGTTCTGAACATGAAATATTTCATAAGCATCCATTCATAGAAGAGCCAATATTGTGCCTCCTGCAGAATCGCTGTTTGCTTCCCCTTATCTAACTAAATGGAAGGAAAACAAAAAAAATTATGGAGGACATACTTGTTGGGAAAACAGACTGATAAATGAGGACAACTTCACGTCACCCTTCCTCCAAAATTTGTTAACTGGACTGAAACTGATGTGCAGTAGAATTAAATGAGATGAAGTAAGAGAAAGACAGGATCAAAGAAAATGGTTGTGAAACTCAGTCTCCTGGTTATGTTTTCAAAGAAGAAAATTATAGGTGTTAGAAGAAAAGGTAACATTTTATTAAAAAAAGCCTTCAGATTTTTCACTGGCATGTGCTTAGAAACAGATGCATGAATCACTAAACAAGATTTAGATAAAATAATTAAATGATTATGATTAATGCTCAGACTTTTAAGCAGAGTAGTCTACTGAATTATATTCTATTCTTTTATGAAAAAAGAGGGATAATCTTCAAAACTAGTAATTATTAATATTGCAAGACTTCTTTGCTTTGCACTTAGGGAGAAAACACAAAATATCAATATGAATTACAGTATTATTATTTGTATTCAGAAATCATCTACGGAATACAGATGTATAACTAGCGTTGTAAACAACTCCGAGGGAAATATGATAACTTAATTTGAAAAGATTACACATGTATGCACTCTTTTCTTGTCTTTCCAAATTTAGATATAAAACTGAACAGATTCTAACAACAAATGAATTGAACCCATTTTGAGGAGAAACAGGAGGATCTGAAGAGTGGAAACAAAGAGATTATAAGTTTTCCATCCTAAGTGTTTCCACGTAACTGAACTGATGGCAGTGACTGCAACTCTAGGAGACCTAGATCATTTCTTTGTCCAAAAGCATCCAGGAACAAAATGCAGGCACTCTGAGGATAGTAAAAAGCCTTAGTGACCCTAACCAGCCTCATCTCAGCCCTCTGACCACACCCTCATGGGCACAGGAGCCCCATTTAAGTCTGAAGTCTGAGTTGATGTCAGAGGAACACAGAACTCCAGCTCAGCTATGCCCACAGACTGACTTCATAGCTTCACCTCCTTGAATTCTCAGCATAGGCCCACCTGACAATCACTGGAACTGATCCTGACCCTTATCTACGGTTTGACTTTCTATCCAGATCTTGATTTTCCTCATCACCACAGATTTCCCTGAAGTTTTGGATTCTTAGCTGAACCTGTTCACCATCTCTGGGCCTGCAATGTTTGCCTTGTTCATGGAATCATAAAGTGGTTTGGATTGGAAGGGACCAGTAGAAAGAAAAGAAAAAGAAGAAAAAATTCTCCAAAGATATGAGTAACAATTTTAAAGAGAACACATCTACATCCATGCTTAAAATCTTAAGCACTCACATTTGCAAGAACTATCCATGAAAATGCTCTAATTGCATTTAAACTTAAATGAGCCAAAAGACACTGTGTTTTGACATACATAAGAGACTATGACCCTTAGTAAAAATACTGAATTTTATTCACTGACGAACAAACAGCAATAAATTTGGATATCCTGACTTTGAAATTTAACTTTATGGGAGAATTTAAACATCAAAGAATTTGTTACTCCTTGAGAGAGAAAAAAAAATTACTCTCTGCTGTAGCACATGACTTAGGTCAACAATATTGACCATTTCTTAGCAGTGATCCATTCCCTCTACCAGTTATGAGTTTGATATAGTGTATAGTGTATAATTTCCAGCTGTATTTCTAAAAACCTTAAAAATAATGGACTGACAGTTCCTCTGTAACTAGAATATAACTGGTGGCATCATCTTAACAGAAAACTTCAGTGATAAATGAGTTAGGAATAAATCTTAAGCACATTATCGTCTGTAGGATTACCATGACTGGAAACAAAGATGAAGCAGTGTATTGCTAATGGCAAAACACAACACAGACATTCTTTGTATTTCAGCTGAAGCCTGGTTGAAGACTGCCAGAAAAAAAAAGCTGGTAATTTGTTCCTCGAAAGATAAATAGTAATCTAAAATAGCTATAGAAAAATAGGCAGTATGCCTCAGAAAGTGTCTAAAAATGTGTAGTAAATTATTTCTGTTTTCTTCTAGAGAATATCACTTTCTGGTACAGAGGTTAAGAATCGAGAATTCCTGAAATTTGATCCCATTTCCAGGTATATTCTAGGGTAAGCCATTTCCTTCTATCTCTTCTTCCCTTTCGGAATGACAATAAATGAGAAATTAAAAGTGTTATAAACTTCACATAATTAGTATTGAAAAAATGCCTTTGATGGGGAAAGGCTCTAAATAAATGCCAATCATAAATAAATCAAAGATCACTGTAGTCAAAAGAAATAAAACAGCATCTTACTAATTTAATAGTACATATATAATTCCCTTTCAGTTAATTCCATTTTCACTGGTTGATCAGACTCAACATCATTATTTTTGTACCATTACCTATCCCAACAGTACACATGAAGTTCCACAACTTAAATGACATGAATAACTTAAGAAAATACAGTTTCTGCATGAGGAAACGATACAGATCTTACAGTAATAACCTGGAGTCATCATATGCAATGTACAAATATAAATTATTAGTGAAATACAATGAGATTGTGAAAAGAGGAAAACTTTGTTGACTATCACATACCCGCCTTTAATATAGTCAAGGAATGAAACTTCTGTTTCAATTAGGAAGGAAAGCAGTGTAACCTGAAAGCAAATAAAAAGAGACAGATGTGAACTGTCATTTCCCAAATAAACAAATAGAGACACATCCACAATGTTTTTGGAGGTAAAAAAAAATGTAACCATTTCAGAAACCAGTTTTTGAAAGGGAAGAAACAAGTTTGGAAGTCTGCTACCATTTTTTTTGGTGGTTGTTTTGTTTAGTCTGTTTCAGTGTGGGTGGTTTCTTATTTTTTTTAAAGTGAAAGATAATGGATGAAAGATCACTTTCCAGGGCAGGCAAACTACGCTTATTCTTTTTGAAGTACTTACCGAGTACTTCAGTTCTGCTTAAAGAACTCAACTACTATTATTTATGCCATTTCCCATGTTAGCAATTGTACTGGGTACTGATACACACACATACATATGAATACAGAAAAATCTTTAAAGTGGAACATATAGAAAAATGAGGAGATGAGAAATTTTTTCACAATCGGTTTTGATCATTCAGGAATTTTGGGAGTCCTCAACATAAGCAGCAGCTTAAAATGTGGCATTTTGAGTGCTCAAGTTGCAGAAATTTTAAATCAAGTGGAAAAGATCTGGCATTGAAGATTTTCATACAGGTTCATGAGGCAAAGAATTCACTCCATATTATTTTTGCTTTATTTACAAATTATGCTGTCCATATTTCTGAGCTTAAAATGACCTCCTAAGTAGTAATGAATGGAAATGGCTACTCTATCAGTGTATTTCTTTAAAACAGCATGAGATAGCAATCAATGACCTACATCCACTTTGCTAATTTTTTTTTCCAGAAGGCAACTTTCCATTAGTGAGAATGATGATCTTAGACGGTTTGGAAATGGAGAAATTTGTCGGGACACCAAATACCTTGGGTGAATGACAGAAAGAAGTAAAAACAAAACTATAGGTAAACATACAGGAAAGCGACTATTCACGGAAGGTTAAAGGAAGGCTGCACATAGGAGGGCAAACGGGACAAAATGGAGTCAACATAAAAGCAATTATAAAAAACACTAGTAAAGAAGAAAAAAGGAAAGAAAATTACTAACACCAAACCACTTGTTGTAAATTTCCTATTAATTTGAGACAAAAAATAAAAAATCCACAGTTGATTCTGCCTGCCCAACATGAGTAAAAAACGTTCTTTCAAGTATAGACAGCCTGAAAGAACTATATTCTAAGACTTTAATTAGCAAAATAAATAAATAAATAAATTTAAGGAATTAATCAGATCTGGCAGGGTAAATTTTCACAGACAAACTACTTTTTACATTTTAAAACAGAGGTACAAAATAAGTGATAGTTTTCCTACTGATGAACAGACTTATACAAGAATGAGAGACTGACAAATCGTTTCTTCAAAGCTATATATTTCAGAGTGAAAGTAGTCCTCCTGGCTTCACTGGGACTTTCCATGAGCAAAGAAAAAAAAACTCCATGCTGAATTTTCAAAAGAACGTATCTAAAATCTGTTTTGATTTTCCAGTATACAGTTCTTCAACACTTATCTTCATTTTCTCGTAGATGCTCTGAGTATTATGGGTGCCAGAACTCAGAAGATGTGAAAATGCTGAAGGGAATTATCTGTGTTGCTAACAAATGGTTCATAACAGAATATGAATAAAAGGACATTAAATTCTCATCCCAAAATAGCCTTAACAGAATTTTCAAGATGGACTTACAAAGTGCTGTTGGCAATAAAAATTTATGACTCTTCCTGCTTTAGCATGAAGGGTGTGACTTAGTAGCTTTTATTGATGCTACGTGAGCAGTTAAATTTAAACATAAAATCGACTTTCGAAAATGCAAATATATTTCAGACAAAATCTAATAGTGTCCAATCAAATAATTTCAAGAACCTGCCTCCAGCTTTGGTGTAACTCATTTTTAAAATCATTGGCAACTTAACAGCACACTTAAAAACAACTTTAAAAAAAAAACAAACATAAACACATCTGAAAATAAATGCTGTAGTACAGTAAATAGTTTATTGTTGTAGCTTTCACAGATGGTTCTATTCCAACTCTGTTATATGTCAAGTCAACTACTTTGTATTTCAAGAGAAAAGTATTCAGTAATATTACAAATTATATCTACTTACTGTTCCAGAGTTAATATACTTTTTCTTTTTTCCTTTTTTCTTTGGATTTATTACCTAGAAACACAGACATAAGTATTAAAGCACAGTCATTTTTTATTAAACACAAAGATAATTGTGAAGACATTTTCAGTGCACAAAACAGAATCTGCAGAACCTAAATTTATTCAGCGTGCTTTCTACTTATGCACCTCAAGGCTGGGCTACACACGGATTTCAAAACCAGTGATTTATTTTTACAGTGCTGGGTAAGGCAGTGCTGTTACTGATATTCAACAAATAAGGGACTGAAACAACAGAGGTGAGTGTTCATTACAACTGAGTGCACAGTGGCTTTGAATTTACACAAAATTTTGCATTTTTCTGTACTTCTGATTCTAGTGTTCCTGTGTTCTGGGTCATCACTTCTTTGTCTTACAATGCACCTCTTTCATTAATCCGCTTCCATCTTCACAGTGTTATCTGTGAAAAATGGGAGCTGTCCTACCCCTAGTTTTTCTATTTGGTGCAATGACAGGTATGGCAATTGCAATGAAAGAAAGGCCGAGGTCATACAGTCTCAAAACTAGCTTGTTATTTCATAAAATCTGGCACAGACCACCACCTGACTGGCAAACACAGTGCACTCTCAGTGCACAAGAATCTTCACAGAACTGGAAAGTATTAAATCATTCTCTTAAATATCTTGAACCCACATTCATACAATCTCCCACTGCAGGCATTTTAAAAAAAGATTGTTTCCCTTCTCAATACCTGAAGGAAAGTCTCAGACAGTTTCACTAAATGCACAGAAAAATGTACTCCTGTTCATTATTGCACACAGAATTGGAAGCAAAATATTATTTTGTTAATTATGTTTATCAGCTATCTCCTATACATCCAGGAAAACTCAAATTCTTCTTACTGCCAAATTCCACTGTAAACTATGCACAGATGTTCCATGAATGACAAGGAATTAAAGCATTCCCAAATGAAATCGCAGCTACTTAATTGCTAAAAAATATTGTAACAGTAATTCCTGAAAATGGGAAAAGTAGCAAAGCCTCTTCCAAAAATTCACCCCCAACCTTACATTCCTTGCACAACATAGAACAGCTGTGAAATGCAAATCAGAAAGATATAAATATCATTGGAGAACTTCCCAAGCAGACTAAATAAGAATGACTCTCTCTCTTCAGTTTGCCACACTGCTATCTGGTGAGTATTCTTCAAACCTTTTACTGTGTAACACACAGGTGCCCTCTGCCACCCTAAAAAAATCCTAAATAACCCATCCCCCTCCTAGTAATATCCCCCATCACCATCCTAGTGGCTGGACAGGTGAGCTGCAAATTAAAATCTGTATGCAGATGCAATGCAATAATGTTTGTTGAACCAGAATTTTAGCTGGAAGGTGACTCTTACTGACAACTGCCCAGAGCAAGAAGATGGAAGTAGCAAACTGCCTGCCTGATCCATAGTCCTTCATTCACAACTCTCCAATGGTCAGGCCTCAGTTAACAACTATAGAAAAGAAATATGCTGCTAAGTGCCCAAAAGGAGATTCATGAGAATCTTCTGCTTCACATAACTTGACAATCAGCATCTTAGGAATTGCTAGGAAATGCACTAGTGCTTGAACTGAAATGCCATGGGAGACAAGGCATCTTCTCGGATCAAAGATGAATGAAATCACAGCTTCTCTATCTCACAATTCCAGGTACTATCATAGTAACAGTAATTGTGAGGTTTTGCTCAAATTTCAGGTAACTGCATCACAGTACTTCCTAGCCTCCAAAAGCTTTGTACCCCTGCAATAACCAAGGAAGCTACTTGAGCTCTTACTTGTTAAAAGAGCTTGTTATATCAATGTTTCTAATTCAAAAGCACTCAAAAATTTCTCTGCCCCAAGGCAGTCTAGCTGTAACACAATTAAAAAAGAATTTGTTCAGTCTCCTTTGTTCTGATATTGCACAGACTGATCATGTCGAAGCAAAATGGGAAAGCATATAGAATTGTCATATGGGGAGGGAAACACTGGCCGTTCAGAAAATGTATGCTATTGCTGGGAGTAAGATATTGATAGTGTATTTAAGAAACTGCAAGATCACAGTAAGAAGTTATGACAGAACATTCCTGGTAGGGTAGGAATCATGTCAGTGATACAACAAGAGAGGACAGTTTCAGTGCACACAGCACTCTGTGACAGAGTACTGTGTGCAGTGAAACTGTAGAAAGCTCCTGCAAATTACAGTAACTCCATAGGGTTGATTCTGGATCTAAATAAGAACACTGCTTTAAGTTATCTTCATTCTGTTTTGCACAGCAGCAACAGTGCTCTTCTTCAAAACATAAGTGCAGCACATAATTGGAGCACCCTCCTTCCCCACACTGCATTAGTGCTTGCACTAATCAGTCAGCATTTTAAGGAATATGGTACATTACAAAATACTGAAGTGTAATGGCAGTAGACCAAGATCAAAGGATGGCTTATAGAATAACAAAGATCTGTATACCACACAGAAAACAACAACAACAAAACAATAAAAAAGACAGCCTATAGTTGCAAAGGTTTGCCTTCTCATTATTAGCAAAGCTATCTTTCCATAGACAAGAAATAACACATTTTAATTTTGAGACAAACTAAGGATGCAAACTGCATGATGCTGGAAATCATGCTGCAAATGGAGAAGCTAACCTAAATCTTTCAAAAAGAGTACCTACAACCCGGAAAGTGTCAAGCATTTATGCTGAGGGACAGAAGAGGTCTTGAAATTAAGAAGTCTATCAGCATGACCATGATTAAACTAGGTTTGTTTTACTTCTAAAGCACTCTTGTGGGAAATAGAAATGAGAAAGTTCTCATCATGGGATTAAGACAGCATTCAAGAAAATCAGAAAGGCTGCTCATGAGTTTCACCTGCCTGGACACAAGAGAGCCTAAATGCGGGAAAAACCTCTGCTATCAGAATGGACAAAGAGGGAACAAGAGAACAGTCTTTGAGACAGCCAGTCATGGAACCATCCTAAAAGCAACAACAGCCCGTTTGACCCCACAAGTAATCATGTGGCATCACACAGAACTGTCTGCATTAGCAGTATTTTAATTTGAAGGCAAAGTAGCTGCTAAATTGAAAGAGGAGATACTCAATACTAGCAAGACCACACTAAAGGAGATTTGGTTGAAAAATGTGTTCCTGTTTTCTGAATGGCACCAATGACCCCTGATATTGATATTGGCTTTTGGTAACATATGGAGGCCAAGGATAAAGCCACAGAAGAAATACCAAAAAAAAAATCATAGACAAAGCCAATGTGTGAGTCAGGAAAGAGCTCCAAAAACAAGAAGACAGATACTTTCCAAAACAACAGAAATGTAAGTGGAAAAAAAATGTTAAGTGCCCTTTTTTTTTCTTCAATTCCTATACTTCATCTCTGTGGACTAGGATTTGCTGACTCATTTCATGCTACCAGAGCTCTTGTAGAAAACAGGAATTCTCACCAACATTTCCCATGAGAGGACTGTTTTTAACAAGAATAATCATGCTGGCAACCAGACCCAGGAATGGGATGCGTTACTGTGGTGCGATGATAGCAATGTATTGTGTGAGGATGAGTTAATGTTTAATCAAATGATCAAGGCTCCACAAATTGAGACAAAATAAAGGCAATTTCCAGAAGGATGCATGGTTGCCTTTCCTATATTTCCCTCAGGAATTCTGGCAGATGGGGCATCTTCCTGAGGTACGTTCATTACTCAGCTGATACAAACATCTTCTAAGTTCGTGAGTACAGACTGCAGACTCTCCAGTATGAAAGAAAGGAAAACAACTAAACTAAAAACTCATAAAGAGAATGGTCAATTTTTGTGCTTAGTAGTATTTATAAGCTATGACAGGGATAAAACATCTCATATTTAATAATTAGTTAATCTTCATAAAAAATATGCTACAAAATTATCAGAAAGATGCACCTGGAAACTGCAAAAAATGCACATTAAAAAGTCAACCTTTAACACTGTTCTTTGGGTCCTTCATGACTCCATGTCATGCAAGCACACTCAGCATTTTCTGATGTTTCTCTGTCCCCAGTATATACCCACCACGGAGCAATAAACACAGCACAGATTGTGCCCTTCCTAAAGAGTTTTCTTGTGTAGTACAAATGTTTATATTCATAAATGAAAGACAGTAAAAATGTGAATAAAACTGACCAAAGAAGGCAACAAAACAGTGAACATAAAATTAAAAAGAATGTTCATTACAAATGTCCGAAAGTCAATCTACAATAGGCCCACAAGGGAAATCCTTCAGATTCAGCACTTCAGCTTACAGCAAGCACTGGGCACAGTCCATCCACTTTGCCTATGAGCATATGTGAAATGAAGGATGCTGAAAAGCTTTCACAGAAATGGCAAGACAGAAATGGTAAGGAGAAAAAAACTATTCTGTTTTCCAAGTCTTAGTAATCTCAGACATCTCAGAAAGAAGTGTTGAATCAGAGATTTACTAGCTTTGAAATACACAAACCTGTACAATTTCGGCAATGGGGCCTTGAGAGGACAGTGACTGTAGATGTGGTCTACATTTATCTACAATATAAGGGAAAGTCATACAGCAGTTAGAAGTACTTGAATTAACAACTGCTTGACAACCCCAACAGCTGGCAGATAAATGAATCCCAAACTGCAAATTTAAAGTATATTTTTAAGCAAAGATGGTAACTGACCACAGCAAACAAACAAACAAAGAAGGTAAATTCACTGTCATTTGTAATCCTAGCATAAAGGCTCTAAAAATTCTCGAGTATGCACTGGAGGCCCAACATGTGTCTCTGCATCTAAAGTAGGCACTGCTGTTTATTTAGATGAGAGAAACTAGCATCCAACTTACAAGACGTGTTACAGTTGGTAAAAGAAGAAATAAATGAAATTTATTTAAAATAAATGACAAACTGCACACACAGAAATGGTTTGTAACTCAGTAGTTGCTCCAAACTATGTCTAACAACCCAGCCATCTGAGCCTGAAGTACTTATGGAGCAACACTAAGATTTTCTGCTCTTCTTCAAAAAAGGAGAAATGTGCAGTAATCCCAAAGCTTTAAATTTGACAAGCACTGTGCAGATTTAACCAGTTTACCATGAACACTCAAAGTTTTCTCACTTATTTTCTGAAGGTGAACAGAACACCTACCTCATACACGTTGAACTGAGACTGCCCTCTCGACAACTCTCTGTAACTTGTTGTGAATTCTCCAATGAAATCATGACTACATTAAAAAAAAAAAACAGAGAGAATATTTACTACTTTAAACATATAGCCACACATTTATAAAAAAGAGAAGCATAACCAGTCTGAACAAACACCCAAGAAAGCCGCGATGCCAAAACATAAAATTTGCTTCAAAAATTGTATTTTCACTTTGATGTGTCTTTAGTGATAAAAATGAAGACTTGATTTATGAGGTTAAATCCTTCTGATAGCTTCTACCTGGCTACACAATGAAGGTTAAGTTGTAAATTAAGCTTACGTGTGAGGCAGATCACTGGAGAATCTAAGAAAACCGAAAGAGCTATAAAATAATATCACCACTTTCTCACTCAATCACCATTGGCATCTTGCTCTAACACTAAAGCAGTGGTTACAAGCTTTTCCTTTCTGAATACTATTTCTGTTCTAAGAATAAATTCCACATTTCCATGCTCTGTCACTCACATTTTTAAAGCTACTTTGTCAGCTCTTAGCCAGGAGAGATCACACTGCAAAGTAACCACCGTGGGCAGGGTGGCCAGAGGGAAAGCGCTGGATAATGCTCCACTGTGAATGGCTTCTGGGGTCAGGGAGCAGAACCACAGAAACCACATGGCTGCCAGACTGGAGTGAATGGAAGATCTGGAATGGGCAGCAAGCACACAGCTGACTGCCTAACAGCCTGCTACACAACTTCCAGCTGTCATGAGACCTTCTGGGCCCAGCTCTGCCCCTTCTGCCTGAACTTTTCTCACTGCTGATCCAACTCCCATTCCCTCCTGATCCTCTCTGTTTTCACAGCTGTTGCCAAGAAGAGCACCGTACCTCCTCTACACTCTGCTTTCACAATCAGTGAGCTATGATAATGACAATAATGATTTTTTTAATCTTTCCTTCAGTGGTAAATGAGAATAGAATGTCAAAGCTGTATGATTTTGTTGCTTGTAAAACTTGTTTTTAAGACATACAGTGCATTTCTAATTAAGCTATAAATATTAAAAGCAAATTTAAATATTCCTCTGTAGCGCAAGAAATGGAAAAATAGAAAGAATCCATAGCAACATGAAATTTCTTACTTTATTAATAACAGAATGACAAAACAAACACAAAATTAAAATCTCTCCATCTGAAACCAGTGGGAATTCAAAAATATCTGTGCAATTAAAAGGTTCAGTCATCATGGCAATGCCAATGAAACGACTAAAGCATCCCGCAGAAGGCTTGAGAAATATATATATATGAAGCTATTACTGACTACCCTGATTCAGAGTCATGAAACAATCCCCTTCCACTCTGGAGACTGGAAAATTGCTTCTGAGACAGACAAAGACTTTTCTTAAGAAACACATTTTAAAGATATTGTCTCCTTTTTCTAAACACTCCCTGGATTGCGACAACTATTGTACCAGGGGAATAGAAGAAGGCAGCATAGAAGCAATAGAATTTGAGAGCTATAGAGACTGCAGCATATAAAATACATTTAATTTTGAGTCACCACAGCTCTGGAAAAAATGCACCTCGCTAAAAGATGTACCTTTCCCTTTTATAGCAATTTTTAATAACAATCTTTAATTTTCAAGTCATCTGGTATTTTTTTAAAAGCAGAAAATCAAGCAGCTGCTCAATGATTACATATGAATATGCTGTAGCAGAGGATAAGCAATTTCAGATAGGGTTTTTCTCTGGGAAAAATACTTTGAAATCTGTACTGCTTATGAGTTACTATTTCCTTAATTCTCTGAGACACCAGAAGGCTTCGTTTTCCTTGTGTCAGTATACACAAACCAGTAAGAACTGAGCTAGAAAGTTTTAATTCCTCTAACAAATCTTATTGAAAATGTGTGGTCCCTGAGCTCTCTGCTCTTAAAAGACCATCAGCTTAGACATGAGCAATCCCTACTGAGATGGATGCACTCCCTCCAATAGACTGGCTCTGAAAGATGAGTACCTGCTGGACATTTGCCTTTGCTGGAAGTATAACTCATTTACAAAAATATAACATTGATCCCTCCCAACATTCATGACTGCACATCACCTGACAGATTTCCTTATTGGTGCCTGAATTGAGAACCAGAAGGAGTTGTCTTTGGTAGACCTTTGGCTTCCTAACACCAAACATTCCTGGACTCAGACACTTTTGTCCATGAACTGCACGTCAGAACTCTGAATCAGAGACTCTCAGTACGTCAGTCACTTAAATCCCAACTCACTAAAACTGCTACTTCTGATACAGTGCTTTGAAGTGCTGAAAATCACATTCAGAATTGTCATTAGCTTTGGGTTGTTTTTTTTTTTTTTTTTTTTTTTTTTTTAATAATCTAAAAGGAAAAAACAATGGAGAAAATGTCAGTCATCCCTGGAAATATGTCAGTGAGAAGTCTAACAATTTAAAAATCAACTAAGCAGCTGGAGAAAGAGGTCAGAGATGGAAGACAAGAAGAGGAAAGCAGCTGGGATCTGAGATTTACAGTGTTCAGGTTCTCAGAGAAATTTTTACCTCTTGCAGTGGTTAGATTTTTCAGGGACTGTTTTGGAGCCCCTAGGTTAGCATGGTATAACTTATTGTTTTAAATTTCAAGAAAAAAGAACAGCATTTTATTCTGTATAACAGACTGTAAAAGCCAAGGTTGTGGAATGGCTTTTGCACCACCTCTGCAAGACAACAATTTCTTTGAAGTTACTGGAAAAGCCTTCAGAAAGAAATAAAAACACCTGAGTATTGCTGATGTCCTTCATTTGTGGTCACACAGTATACTCAAGATTTTATGCCATGGATATGTATCAGTGCTGCGTATTCTGATACAGAATCTTCCAAATGTTTTCAGAAATAAACAACATCAGAACTCAGCACTGCAAATATTTCTGTTGGGGGTGTATAAAATACAAAAAAAGAATCCAGTGCACTTAATTGTCCATATAAAACTTTTTTGCATTGCTTGATTAAAACCATGGAAAAACAAATTATTTAAGCTAGAAATGCTAGGTCATCTAAAATACACAAAAAGAAGCAAATCTTTTAAACAATAGGTTAAAGTTAAGATGATCTAGACAAGAAACTCTAGTCAAGAAATACTAAGTCAAGAATAGTCAAGAATTGAACAGTCAAGAAACGTAAGTGATGTTGGAAAATAAATGAGAGCTAAGAACGTACAATTACTTCTAATGTAATTCATGAACTTTGCAGCAACAAGCTCAACTGCTCAACTCCGGAGCCATTTCCCAAAGCATGGATGATACAGGATGTGGGGAAAAAAAATGGAAAAAAATCCTCTAACTCAAGGCTGCTGAACAAAAGAACACTAAATCACAAATCAAGCATATGCCCGGCACTGTTGTTTTATCGACTGCAGAACAACCTGCAACATTCAATGTTGCTCGCTCTGCTATCTAGCAGGCTCCCTGATGATCTTCCAAAGGTTGTTCTTCCTAGGACTTCACATCTCTGGAGCACAAACAGGCAGTCTGGTGAGGTAATCAGCTACTGTATCAACTGATAATTAACAAAGAGTCCACGAGAAATGAAAATTAATGTAATCTGTTTAACAGTGGCATTATACAAAACCTTGATAGACTAATTAAGCATCCTGAATAGGATTCACTTCAGATCCATTTGGCTAACTCGAAGTTAAATTAATAATGAATGTTCTTGCTATGATCACTAGTAAGTCATAAGCATCACCAAATGACAATTTCTTCCTATTGAGACAGATTCAATCAGAATGCAGAATACCATTTTGCTTGGTTTGATACTGAAATAGCTTAAATGATTAGCTCAATCTAGCAGCTTGATTTTTAAATTGTCTGAAGTTACATGAGATGAGGCTGTCTCATCTTTAAGGAATTTAACGTGTAAAAAGTCATTGCTTTGTATGCTTCTAAATTCAAAAAAGGTGGAAAGCAAGAGGCAAAAAATCATATGGTTGGAGTAAGAAGGAATACATGGAAATAATATTCTTCACTTTTTTGTTTTTTTAAGATACTCATTTAACAGCTATTCAGAATGAGATGTAAGCAAAAGCAGACAATCTGTCACAGTGGCTGGGACAGAAGAGATTAATGATTGCCTGAATTCCACAGTATGTTGATGTTTTCACTCAAAATTGTGCCCATAAAATTATTATTTGTCAGATTTCTTCTTTTAATCACATCTCAAATTCAGATTTTAAAGGAAACAAGTCAGCACATTGGGTTTAATGAAGATTAATAAAATAGGATCTTTCTTTTTTATTAACTTGGAAATATTGTCTCATTTTTTGTTTTCAGATTATTTTCACAAAATATTGTATCTTGCCTACAAATTGTAAGTATGTCACATTTTTGAAGATTTGGCAGATTTAAGTGTGAAGTAGAGGATGTTAATATAATATTAGATCTTTATAGTGATGTAGCAACTTTTTTTTTCTAATAATTTTAATCCTCATATTTTTAATTGCTTATCTGAGTAAGTTATCCCTGAGTAAGTTTGCAGATGACACCAAATTGGGAGGTGGTGTCAATCTGCCTGAGGGCAGGGAGGCCCTGCAAAGGATCTAGATAAGCTGGATCACTGGGCCCAGGTGAATGGGATGAGGTTTAACAAGGCCAAGTGTCGGGTTCTGCACTTTGGCCACAACAACCCCATGCAGCGTCACAGGCTTGGGGATGAGTGGCTGGATGACTGTGAAGAGGAAAGGGACCTGGGGGTGCTGGTTGATGCTCGGCTGAACATGAGCCGACAGTGTGCCCAGGTGGCCAAGAGGGCCAATGGCATCCTGGCCTGCATTAGAAATAGTGTGGCCAGCAGGAGCAGGGAGGTGATCGTCCCCCTGTACTCAGCACTGGTGAGGCCGCACCTCGAGTACTGTGTTCAGTTTTGGGCCCCTCACTACAGGAAAGACATT